TAGGGGCGATTTTATCTCAGAAACATCCTGAGGGGGAAAAAGTGATAAGTTACTTAAGTCGGTCATTGACGAAAAATGAAAGAAAATTCTCAACAACCGAAAAGGAATGTTTGGCAGTGCTGTTTGCAGTAGAAAAGTTACGACCCTATATTGAAGGAAGTAAGTTTACCGTAATAACAGACCATTATAGCTTGAAATGGCTTTTTAACATAAAGGATCCGGTAGGGCGCATTGCGAGGTGGGCATTAAGGATGCAACAATACGATTTTGACGTACAACATCGAAGTGGTAAGGACCACTGTGTCCCTGATGCACTCTCTCGAGCGGTCCCTATGGTAGACCTTTTAGACAGCGCAGATGATGGACCCACAATCACTTCAGACCGATGGTATCGTGAAATGGTCCAGAGAGTCACGAAATTTCCCACTAAATACCCTCTATGGATGTTAGACAATGGGAAGCTTTATCGGAAGGTTAAGTCCCAATACCCTAACCTGTCTCCGAATGAATGGTTGGTTGTAGTCCCTCGTGATCAACGTGTGGATATAATCCGAACAAATCACGATCCTCCGACGTGTGGTCATTCTGGTGTTGCCAAAACGACTGCGAGGATAACTCAGACATATTATTGGCCAAAACTACGGGTAGATGTCGCTCGTTATGTCCGCAAATGTGACACTTGCCTCCGGACGAAACCTGAGCAAAAATCGCCAATTGGACAGATGCTTTCGGCTCAAATAACTGCATCTCGACCATGGGAACTAGTTAGTTTCGATCTCGTTGGACCCCTCCGAAGGTCAACCGCGGGATACAGTTTTATACTCACAGTGATGGACTGTTTTAGTAAATTCATTTTGCTTTATCCCCTCCGATCAGCCACCGCCTCTCAAGTCACCAAAATCCTTGAAGATCATGTCATATTGGTGTATGGAGCCCCACGGAAAATAATTGTCGATAATGGCGTTCAATTTCGTAGCAATCTCTTTAGGAACCTCATGACGAAATATAACGTTCACATAGGATTCACTGCCAACTACCATCCGCAGGCTAATCCTGTAGAGAGGACCCATCGGGTTATTAAAACAATGCTAAGTTCATACGTTACCGACAATCATAAACAGTGGGACCAGTATTTGGCAAAAGTTGGATTTGCTATACGTTCGGCAAAACATGAGGTCACAGGTGTGACGCCTAACCTTGTTAACTTTGGTCGCGAAGTTAACCTCAATAACGTGGATATCAACAACCCAAATTTAAATCAAACGGTGGATGGTGATGCACGAGTCCGTTCGTTGAATTCACTGTTCAAAGATGTTCAGAAGAAGCTTCAGAAAGCATACGAAAAGAGTAGGATCCCCTATAATCTTCGACATCGCAATGAACCCTTCACACTGAATCAAAAAGTTTGGAAACGCAATCATGTGTTGTCAGATGCTTCCAAAAATTTTACCTCGAAGTTGGCACCAAAATTTTCGGGGCCCTTCACAATAGTCCGGATAGCTTCGCCGTGGTCCTACGAGCTTGCTGACGAGAAGAACAAAACCCTAGGTGTATGGAATGCCAAGGACCTCAAAGCTCATCCTCCTGATGATCACTGATTCGGTCCTCTCATGATTGGGTGTAGATAAGTGTGCGTGTGAGTGTGAATGTGTATAGGAATAAGCATTACAGTTATAAGTTTCGTCGGAACTTATTTCGAGGGAAGGGTGGTGTGTTACAGGTTTATTCTTCTATATCATGAGACCCTCAAAAATTATACTAAAACACTAAAACATAACGTTTAAATAGTTTATTTTCTTAAATCCTACCAGCTCACAGAATTACTTCACTCAACAAATGACTAGCTTAGCGTTATCATAGTAAGTAGGTACATGAACTGCATGATCCGTGCATGGAGCTTGTGGTGTTTGATGTAGAACAAAAACCTGAAACAAAGTATGAATGTAATAGTGATTGAAACTGTTGATATTTAACTCACCTAACTTACGATCTTCCTCGTATACCTCTGATTAGTGGTCGTTCCAGTTTTGTGGGTGCTCTTCTTTGCTTGTCTGGTATGACTGGTCCTTAATAGGTGTTGTTTGTTGTTGATCTCTTGATATCAGCTTCTTCGTTAACAACAGGAAACTCCAGAATAATCATATCTATTTACTTCTTGAAGTTGATAGAAATCGAAATGGATACCTGAAAAATATAAGTTATTTAAATAATTAAATAAAAATAATAATATCAAAACATAACCTATTTGATCGGATGATTGCTGTCACTGTATCTGTCCGTAAGTTCGTCTGGGTATTCTGTGTCACTTTATCGTGACGTGCTGTCACTTGGGTCATGGATGGTTAACCAAACGAAAGTAACCAAGGTGAATTCTTCTGGCTGCGACTGGCTCGAGACTGCTCCGGTACGTCACTGCGGATTACCCCTGCACTAGACTTGACATATGTCACAAACTTCATCGACAGTGATACCACTTTTTGACTGAAAAATTCCTACTTTTCTACTTGGCGGGTTCGAAAGGGAAAAAAAGTCTTTTTCCTGGTATCCATGTGGATCGTGGGATAAGAAATCGCAATTTGCGGATAATTAATCCAAGTTTCCGGAAATCGTGGAGGAAATAATAGTTGTGGACACAGGAGCAACTTCTCATAGTAAGAGGATATAATTTCTCACAGTTCCGGAATTTCCAACCTCTAATAGAAAACACTTTGAGGCCACCCAACACCTTCAGGTATGTCTCACTATCAGTCAATACTTTCGGATGGAACTCATTGTCGATTATCTTCAGGCACAGTAATCATTTTTATTTGTAGGCCTCATAAGTAATGAGTCATAAGTCTCATAGCTGATTTCATAGTACCTATAGTTCCCTGGTTGAGTTAAGGATGGTTCTTGAGGTACTCTGACTCACCATTAAGTACTTCCATCAGGAACTGAGTACGAATGAATGTATTTATCTGACAGGAGTCAGGCATCAGATGAATTGTAGTAGCTGCTCTGACAACTTTGATCCCTGCTGCTGGCCCTCTGGATGACTAAGATAAGCCCTAGATTTTAGACCTCATATTCAAGCACTCATATAATTATAGGAATTCACTTTCAAACAACATTAAAGATACCTAGTGGTACTTGTCATGAGCTTGTTGTTAAACATGCAACCCAGGCCTGTAGGTTGTGCAACTAGGATTAGTTGTAGAAATTCTGCAGAAACATGTTCTACTACAGGGTTTCCAGAGGCCATGTTTATAACAGTTAAAGTGGTACTGATTGGGTTAACCAATGTATTGTAGGTAGTGATATCATTCCCTGGGTTATAGCGCTATCACCCCAAAACTTTATTGACCATTATTTCTTTTGTTTATACTTACCAAAGCTTTAGTATTTGATATAACTCACCATTACGTCTGGTGAATCCTATGTGTTCTGACATGGAATATTAAAACCCACAGGTTTTTATATTATATAACAAGATACACTGTTTTGGATCAAATAATAAAGCACACTGTTGTTTGTATCTTCCATACTTCTCAATTGTAAAATTATTTCATTCCCACTCCCTTCTTCACTGAGCCAGGGTCTGTTCCTCCTTGAAGGTCTTATAAATAACTGCTACTCCTTTCCTCCTGTCAGAACTTCTGATAGAAGAAAAGAACATAGCATCGTTGCAATCAACATCTGAAAAACTATTGATTTGGCAAAATTGCCGATATCACCATTGAATCGGGCATCATCAGAAACCATCTTGTATAAAATTTCATGAATTTTCCTTGAACCGTATTGAAAATATCAGAAGGTTCCCAGTCTTTCGAACGAAAATGCCATGTTGTCATATTTCGAAAACCACTCCAATTTAAAATCTGATATTTGGAGACAGAAGTAATGAATGTATTGCAATGAAAACAAATAGGGTATTCCATTTGAAAAAATTGAGTTACCCTGAATATCTGAAAATTTTTTGACTTGGCAACATTTCCGATATCACCATTGAATCGGGCATCATCAACAACCATCCTGTCGAAGTTTTCATAAATTTTCTCTGAGCCGTTTCTGAAATATGGGACCGTTCCAGAACTTTTCAATAAAAATGCTATGTTGTCATATTTCGAAAATCACGTTAATTACGAATCTGATATTCAGGGACTCAAATATTTAAGAGGCGCTTAATTAATTGCAATAAGAATAAATGGGGTATTCCATTTGAAAAAATAAAGTTACTCCTAATATCTGAAAAACTGTAAACTTGGCAACATTGCCGATGCCACCATTGAATCGGACATCATCAATAATCACCCTGTAGAAAATTTCGTGAAATTTTCTCAAGCCATTCCTAAAATATGAGACCGATCCGATACTTTTGAAAGACACTGTATAACAAATAAGATATTCAATTTTCTCAGAGTTTTGACTATTGGTTAAAGAAGTCTTGTGAATACGAATGGTGCACTACTAATTCCAAATGGTAGGCAGTTGATGAATCTGATTGTTGGATTTGAATCGAAAAAATATCCGATGTTCCTTGTTAATAGGAATAAGATGATATGCATCTTTGAGATCAATTCAAGCTGAATATGAGTCTTCAGTTACCAACCTGGTAACGCTCTTGTAATCCTCGATTTTGAAGTAGGGAGCATTCATGAATGTGTTCAACCCTCTTAGATCCAGAAAAAATCAAATTTTCTCATTAGTTTTTTCCGAAAAAAATATGTGGACAAAAATTTACCCACCTCAGGTTTAAATGCAGATATTGCACATCTTCTTATCAACAACTCTATTTGATGTTCGTAAATGGTCCATTCTTTATCGGAGATTCGAACTTATGTAATGCTTTTCTGAAAAGGTTCACTGATAGGAGGAATTCCTACGCCTCTCTGCCACTTCAGGATAACAGATTTATGACAAAATTTTTATCAGTTGGAAACAGAATTTTGTAGGCGGCAGGCATATTTTTTTTACCTGAAGTTGTGTTAGTAGTTTTTCTATTTGGAAGAATAGGGTTTATTTCAATCGTATTCGTACTCGCTCTTCTTAGATTGATTCAATCGGTGGTTCCATGTTTTCTTCTTGGGGTTGAATGTCTGGCGCTTAAAGTTTGATTTCTTTTCAGTATCAGGTGTGTGGTTGAAGCTGTATTCTGTTTGTTTGTTCATTAGAGTTGGATGCGTTGTTTGTGACCTAAAAGTTTATGGGTGAATTGGCTTGATGATTTGATTTCCGAGCCCGTTTTCTCTGCAGTTTCATTGGCTTCAAGGTCTTGAACAAAGGTTTCTCCCAACAAGAATTTGTCCGTTTAGCTTGGTTTAAGAATGGTATTATATTCTACTTCTTGTGCGTCGATAAAGTATGATGTACATTAAAAATTAGTTGTGATGCCTTCGATAAGCTTGTTAGTGTATCTTCTACTTCGTTTCCATTGGCTATAAGCAATTTGTTTATTCGTGATCATACCCAATGACCACATTGACGTTGAAAAAACGTTGCTTAATGATTTGAAACCGAACATTCATGAGGGGTATTTCTCAACGTTGTTTCAACGAAGAAATATCGCACGATGAAACGTTTTCTTCAACCAAATTATCTATCAGAAATGAACGTATTTTGATAACGGTTTTCCAACTTGAGTATCAAAGAGACATAAACGTGATGTTTCGACGTCTCACAATTGTCGATATCAAAAGTTTATTCAAAGTTTGGAAATGACAATTTGAACAAGTTGATGAAATAAGATTTTTTAACGTTTACTCCGGATCAATTTCAAATCATCGAAATTCCGGTTCTTCGAACGTTACTCAAACGTTTCAGCTAGATTACTTCTCGTTATCTTTGTGTCCAAAATAAATTCATTATCATTTCCATTATTATTGCACTTATCATTATAATAACTCACTCACCTGATATGTATCCATGTATTTCTTTTTCGTTCCACTTCCTTTTTAGTGACGTACCCATCTTCACGTAACCCTATTCAAATTTGCTCGACTACTTGTATTTGTACCTAAACTCTCGGTGTGAGCGTCGGCGAGATGTGAACGAAAAAAGAACACGTTGTTGAACATAGTTTAACGATAACTGATATTACACGTTGACGAATAACAGTTGAAAAACGTTGTTGGGAAACGTTCCATTGACGCTCTTCTATCATTGTCGGTCAGAAAATGTTGACAGATTCGCGTAATAGAAATGTTTATTCTGAACGTATAACTGAAGTTTCAGAAAAACGTTTCATGAATGCATAATTTCAACAGAACGTCAGGACATATTGTTTTCAATACGTTTATAAAACGTTCAGATTCAAATTCATTTCAAGAGTTCAACAAACGTTTGTTACAAACGTTAGTTCTCCCTGAGCATTTCAACTATAATATAGACTATAGTTTGACGACAATATTTTTTACACGTCTACAATCAATTGTTGAAAATGTTTCATTCGCGTTGTTCTTCCACTCCCGGTTGAATGATTGGTGACAGATCTGTGGTAAAGAAACGTTTATTCCGAACGTCTAATCAAAGTTTCAGAAAAATAACGTTATATCAATGCATAATTTCAACAAATTGTCAGGACATCATTGTCAATACGTTCATGAAACGTTCAGATATAACTTAATACCAAGAGTTTAACAAATTTTTGGTACAAATGTTCGTTTTTCTTGAACAGTTCAACTATGATATAGGTTAAACGAGAACTTATATTACACATTGTCGAATAACAGATAAGAAACGTTGTTGAAAAACGTTCCATTAGCGTTTATTTTCTACTCTTGGTCAGAAAATGGTGACAGATTTGCGTTAAAGAATCGTTGATTTCGAGCGTCTAACTAACGTTTTGGAGAAACTTTCAATGAGTTTATAATTTCAACAGATTGTCAGGACATATAATTTTCGATACGTTTATGAATCGTTTAGATCTAACTTCAAATACTTCAACCATATCTCAACGTTGAATTTCTCAATCATAAACGTCTATCAAACTTGTTCTACTTTGATAATACGTCAAAAAAACGCACGTATGCCCATTGGGTGATGCCGCCAAGGCATGTATGGTTCCACTCTGTAGGTGAACGATGAATTCGTTCTGTCCAAGTGTTCTTGCATCTAGACATGGATATATTTCTGGCCCTGGTATGGGTGTCTTCATGCAAGGGTCGTTGTCAAGAAGTGTATATTTTGCCTTGATATTTTTCGTACGTTCCTAATCGATATCATTTTGTGAATAGTCTGACCACCTAACAACAAGTTGTTCATGAAGAGTCTCCTTCATTTTCAGAATTCCTTTCGGTTTTGCCTCGAAAAAATGATAGTTTTCTTCGTTTTGGATTTGGACTCCAACATTCTTCGATTGAATGTTGATTGGAACTACTTCTTCTTCAATTTGTTTGTGGTGTACCTCCGCAACTGCTTCTTCTGGTTCGATGGTTCTAGTTGCTGCTGAAATGTACAGGAAATGATTCACACATTCATTTTGTATTATCAAGCAGTGAAACGACTACTTATGTGTGGTAGTTGGTTGTTATTATTTCAATAATGATCATTATTATTCAACACATGTAGTATAACGACTACTTATGAAGTAGTATCGCGCAAGATTGATAAAAGGAGTGTAACGACTCCCATGCACTGCAGACAACAATTTTGAGTACTTTATTGTGTACGTCAAGTTCATCAAGAGCTATTCAACCGAAACAATGGGTACTCATGATCAACTTTGTCTTCAGGATAATCAAAATCTTATAAGGAGCTGCTAGAAGACGAAAACGATAATGTATCTCTCAGGCGTTCGAATTTTTCCACCAGTTTCCCGTATTTCCTACTTTTCGATCTATTCTCTTGATCAGTCAATTCACCAGCACTAGATCGCCTTTTCGGCATGTTCTCGACACAATTATTCACTGAAATATCACCACAGAGGTAGCGATTGAATTGTAGCATCTGACTCTGACGGGTGCGGAAAACGAAGTGAACTCACTACCTGCCGCGGTGAGTCATTAAAAAACGACTGGTTTTTGTTTACTTCAAAAAAACGTACTTCGACGGGTGTCAACAACCACTACTAATTTGTGTATTCATAGGAATGAAGCGGAGGAAAATAAGAGGAAAATATCATAACTAATTCAATAAATGAATGTTTAACCTATGGTGAGATCCGCAGTCTACCTCTTTCAAACATGATGTATTTTCTTCTGTATTTTTTTCTGTATACCATCAATTCCTGATGATTCCAAATGCAACGACTATGGTTCTAGAGTTGATCTCAAAATTTGTTTGTAATCATTAATAATTTTAAATCTCATTGAAGAGATCATGGTCATTCAATTTCCTGGAATTATCATTAATGATCTATTTTATCGTCGAAACATATTTGAATGCTTTTTCAAGTTCCTCATAGCATGATTCATTATCAAACCTATGATCACAATAAACATTATCATTTCAGCACAAAGTAACGTGAACATAGTGTCAAGTTGCTAATAATTTTTAATATTATAGTAGCGAGCTTGTCGAAATGCCTGCATTACTTTCCATCACTAATGGGCAATATTGAAATGTCTGAGTATCGCAGGAAAGTTATCGTTCATTTCAGAGAAATTGGAACTGCCTCTTTCTTGAAAAAAAAATATCGCAATGAGTTTTGTGAATAAAAGCACGAATTTTCGATTCCTTATTTGTGCCAGATTATGGAAAATTTCCCGATAGGTTTCCATTTGATTCAATAATTCAATGGATTTGAAAGTATTTTCTGTAATAAGTGATATCTCTTGAGCTCGAGTATTGTCGTAGGTAATATCCCGAGACCATGACAAATAGCCGACTATTATTTTTCTCATAACTCCATCGAGAGTACCTTGTATCTCGACAATTTGATGACACCATATAAACATTAATAATCTGAATAACTCCCGAGAGCTTCAGCTTGAGAAAGCGATTTTCTAAGTGAAATCAATTCCATTATAGGTGTTAAAATAAACAATTCATCACCAGTCATGTGATATCTTATTTCACGCTCCTGGTTACGTGAACTACGACGTTTGAAAACTGAGAAGTGTGAAATTACATGTCAGAATTAGGCGTTTGCATTTATTTTGGAGTCAGTCTTTTTTTTTATCGCTTGAAGCTCACGAGAGGGAATCTCTATAATGTTCAAAGAACATCGTGCGTTCCTAGGGAGGATAGGGATAGGAAGTAGGTATTGGATTTTTTTTTGAACTTCTGGAGATTATATGTTGTTGGGAATACTTCCACAGGCAATGAATTCCAGAGCCTAGCCGTACTATGGATGGAGGAGTTTTGATAAAGTGCTGTTCGACATCTTTCGAGGTTGACAACGAAAGGATGTGCTGACTGGGCTTGTCTAGTTCGTCTGACTGGTATTGCTAGTGAAGGGATGATAGCAGAGATTTCCGGAGAACATTTCCCGTAGAAGTATCGATAGAGAAGTGAAAGGTCGCCAACCTTTCTACGGTGTTCCAATGATGTCAAAGAGTGAGTGAGTGTGGCGTCACCCACCAGGCGGATGGCTCTTCTCTGGATGGAATCTAAGAGCATCAGCGTATGTTTTGGTGCTAAACCCCATATGTGGAAACAGTATTCTAGAACAGGCCGTATCTGCGCTTTGTAGATCATGAGGAGCTGTTGAGGTGTGAAGTAGCTTTTCGCACGGAACAAGAATCCGAGTTTTTGTGAAGCAGCTTTTGCGATGGATCTCACATGATTATCCCTTGAAAGGGTGTTGCTGATGGAAATACCGAGCATAGATATGGTCGACTTGGTGGGGATGGTGGTGCCAGACATTACAATGTCGGGCATACTGAGTTCCGCCTTTCTAGAGAAAATACAGGCTTGAGTTTTGGTGGCGTTGAATTCAACTAGGTTGTTGGTTCCCCAGGCTGTGATTTCAGCAAGGTCTTCATTGACAGCATTGACCTGCCTGTGCCGTGAGTTCTTAGTTTCCTGGGAAGAAATGGGAATTCTGGAAGAGAACGCAGTCTGGAGGGTACTATCATCTGCAAAGCTGTGGATGGGGCGAGTTGTTACTCCCAACAGATCATTGATATGAAGAAGGAATAATGTTGGTGCCAAAATCGATCCTTGTAGAACGCCGGAATTAATGCCAAATGTATCAGACGATACACCGTCCACCACCACATGAAGCGATCTGCCTGAAAGAAAACTCGATAAGA